AAAAAAAAAAAAAAAAAGCCCACAGCCACGGCGGCGACCTTCACCTTGTGAGGCTGGGACAGTTTTCAGGGCGACCGGAGGCCTCCTCCCCTGTGATAACATTACCTGCGGCATGTGCGCCAGGGCCCATCATGGCTCCCCCTCGACTGTGGGGGCAGGGCCCTGGCAGACCCTGGAGGGCAGTCTGGGTGCCCCCAGAAGCATACTAAAGGGGGTCGTTAGCAAAGGTCTGCATTTACACAGCAAAACTGGCCTCTCTGAGGAGAAATTTCGGCAGCTTTGTGGGAGACAGAAGTCCAGAGGCTCCCGCTCAAGGTGGACGTTTCTCTGCACGTCCTTCATTTCTGCACTCTGCTGATGCAGGGCTCTGGAATCTTCTAGATGTGTGTGAGGGACTGTGTGAGAGAGAGAGCGTGGCTGTCAGGGGCGTGGAGGGGTGAGAGTCCCTTCGGGGGGAGAAGGGTGTGAGGAGGATGGTGCCTTCCACGGAGAGAGCATTTGTGAGGCACTCTCGTTCTGGAGTTTGACAAAGCGGCCCGGCTGAGTTGATTTTTAGGGGTCAGGGAAAGGCCAATCTATTTACACACCTTTGCTAAGGAGCATGGCGGGGCAGTGATGGGGGCCGGGATTAATGAGCAGTTTTATTACCTCCTTGTCAGGAGGGTCATGGGATATTATTTTGATATCAGGGCGCCCCCAGAAGCAAACACAACGGGTTAGGTTCTAAATAGAAGAAATGCCAGAGAAAAAGGGGCCTCACCCCTGGCCATTGAGCGTTTCCCTTTCTTCTCAGCCAGGGATGGGCCCAGGACCCTCCTCCCACCCCAGTGCTTTCAGGGGGATCCCTCCGGGGCCACACCAAAGCCAGTTCCCAAGATAACGTTGGCCGGTGGCGCCGGGCCAGGAAAATTAAACCCCGCGGTTGCTAGTGAAGGAAGCAGCCAGGCCATCCCCCGGCCTGCCCAGGGTCACTGACGACACAGCCTGAGTGACAAGGAAGGAGACTGCCTGAGCACTGCCTGCCCCCAGCCCTAACTGGCCCAGTCGGGTCTGCCCTCCAGCCTCGGGACGGGACCGGGATTGGCGAGACTGGACGACAGACCGAAATGACTGCTCGCCTCTTGTTTTCTGGTCTTCGCTTCTCGCCTTTTCTCCGTCAGGGCAGACTGTAGCTGTGACAGAGTCTATCCGCCTCACCCTGAACGGGAAGGAGGAATTCTGCCAGATGAACACAGGCACGGACAGACAGCTCCACATACCAGGGCCAGGGCCGGGGAGCAGAGGCCTGGGCTGACGTGGCGGGCCTGGGGTGCAGGTCTGGGCTTCTCAGCCCCTGCAGACCCTGTGGCTCCCCGCCACCCCCCGGCTGGGACTGCCGTGCCTATGTGTCGTCTGGCCACTTACCACCTATCCCCTTGTTCTCTTGGCCTAGGAGATTACGGCCTGTCCTAGGGAGTCCTGGTCTAGGTCTAGGTCATTTGTGGCCCAGAACACTCCCTGCACATGGAGCCAGTGAGCTCTCTCCTGAGTCCCTGCCCGTCCAGCAAGCGTGGCTCTGGGTCCCCCACTCTGCTGGACAGAGGCACTGTCCAATCTGCCCTTGCAAGAAGCCTCAGTTTGCGGGCTCATTCGTAATAAATACCCAGCAAATCTCGCTGGCCCCTAGGTTGCTTTAAATACATATTTCTGCTCATCTGTCCTCGGACACGTTCTGTTTACGCTGCCAGGGCCGGCCACACAGGACCTGTCAGTGAATAGGCAAGAAGGCCTCTGCCTAACCGGAACAAAACTTGGGGGTGCATGCCAAAGGAGGGGCCACCTCTGAAGGTTCAGATACCATAGAGTGGGGAGAGCTTTGTAGAGTCAGACAGCTGGGTTCACATCCTAGCTCCAGCACTGAGGGCTGTGTGACTTGGGGGAATACGCCTCACCTAGAAGGGTGTGTTGTACTTTTCTCATCTGTAAAATAGGGATAGCGTTACCACCGTCGCAGGGTTGCCGTGGGAAGTAGCTGAAATGGATGTAGAGGACCAGTGTGTGTTGGGTACACACACAGTAGTTATTACTGTCACCTTCATGCCAGTTGGAGCCATGGAGCTCTCTGAGATCTCAGATGGAAGAGGCAGAGGGGATTGTCTGGATTATGCAGGGCGGAGCCCAGCTGCCAAGGGCAAGGACTACTCAGAAACAAGTTGAAGCGGGGGGGAGTGTTGTCTGCCTAGTGCCAGACAGATGGCAGGGCTACATGGCCCCCAGGTAGCAGAATAATTTCATTTTTGGCAAATTCCACTAACTGCCAACCAGTCTTTTGAGTAGAAGCGTAGTGTGCCTTTCAAGTTTCCCTCGCAGTTACACAACTTTTCTTTAAAGTAATGAGCTGTTTTCTTTTTTCCCTGTAAACATGAGGCTGACATCAGAGAACAATTTTTGGTACTGGTTTTGAAAGCTAACTGGGTGGTTTAGGCATGATGGGAATCCCAGGCACTTGGCTGGCTCTCTTTCCTCCGTTTCACTGAAAAGAATTTCTTCAATGAGCCCACATCTCAGGGGCGAGATGCACTTTGGATTAGTGAAAGTTTAGAAACATTTAGGTGATTACGGTAAATAATTCACGCAAATCCTGACAAATGCAACTTACTCTTCTGGGCACGCAGAAGGGAGAGCAGAAACCGGCCCCCTTCCTCTAGTTGCTTCCCAGTCCTTTTGGCGCCATCTAGTGGAGGAGCCCCGCTAAACACAGGATTTGCCTCTGCGGTCCCTTCTGCAAAGTTGAGGAAATGCAATTCACCTAGAAGCTTTTTAGCCCTGGCTCCCTTCTGTGTTTCAGTTAGAAATACCACCGTGGTGACCTGGAATCTCTTTAGTCGCTGATTAGAGTGAGCCCTGGATCGCAGTGGTCAGCATCTCTGCATTTGGATCTGGTTGTCCCTTACGAGCAGCGTGATCACTGGCAGGTTACTTAACCTCTCCCAGCCTGTGTTCTCAGCCGTAAAATGGCTCTGATAACAGGAACTGCCCACAGAACTATCCCTAGGACAGAATGGAATGATGCCCATATGGGGCTCAAGACAGTGCCTGGCACACAGTAAAGGATCACTCTTTCCAGCTCCCGTTAGCCCTGCTTATTTCTCGTCCCCCTGCACACTGCGGATTCTACCTCCAGAATCAATGCTCTTGGGTGAATGGCTGCACAGTAAGGTTTGTCCACACAAGCAGTGTGAAGGTATTCCTTAGGAAGTGATGACATCTTCTTGAAAGATGCATCTTCTTGAAAACACCACGATAAACTATAAACTTATTATTATTGCCAAATTCTCATCAAGAAGTAGGAAATCCAGACTCGGTAGAGATCTTGGGGAAGAAAGGTAAAGATTTTAATAACACCTTACTTTTAGGAGAAACTTGGCACAAATCATCTTTCAGGTTTCAGTTAGCAGTAGTTGCCTTTTCATTGAAAAGCGTGGTTGTTTGATGGCTCAGGATGTCTATTTTGATTTCATTAGGCACCACTTGGAAAGGAAAAATGATCCTTTACCTCCATCCATGATATGCAGTATGCTGCATATTTTCTCTTGGTTAAAGTCTGTTTTAGAGGCAGGCACGTCTTTTTTTAAATTTTATTTTATTCTTTTTTTTATGTTATGTTAATCATCTTTTTAAAGAGAGAGAAATAGTCTTCTGTGTGTTGTAGGCAAATTTAGATAAAGGCAAAAGTACCTTTTGAAGCAAATAGTGTCTGTGTTTTTGCTAACTGATTTTAGGTAACAAAAAGTTTAGCCCCTCTGGTCTAGCTGGGATCTTTCTAACTACAGCTGAGCCTTGACCAAGATGGGTTTGAACTGTGCGGGTCCATTTAGGCGAGGATTTTTTTGATAAATACAGCGCGGTACTATAAATGCAGTTTCTCTGCCCTCTCCTTTGCTTACATTTTTTTCTCGAGCTTTCTTTATTGTAGCAATACAGTATATATACTACATGTAATTTACAGAATATGTTCATCGGCTCTGTTATCAGCAAGGCTTCCAGTCAACAGTAGGTTACTGGTAGTTAAGTTTGGGGAAGTCGTAAGTACGTGGATTTTCGACTGTGCGGGGGTTGGCGCCCCGGACCCCCACGTTGTTCAAGGATCAGCTGTCATCTGCGTCACTAAACACCCATAGCCTCGAGAAAGCTGGCAGCACATCTTGGGAACCTTGGTGGTGGCACCTTGCCCTTGGAATGTTCTTGGCAGCAGGAACCCTTCCTATAGGCACAGAAGGCCCAACACAGCCCGGGTGGAGGACTCGAGGCTTCAGCAGCTCCATTTGGCCAGAGGCCCAGGGACACTGGGCCCATCCATGAGCCAGAGAGAACATCCATCAGGCGGGGGGAGTGGGGGGTCGCAGATGGCAGGAGAGAGCTGGGCTCAGAGTCTAAAGACCTGGACTCGAATACTAGTCTGCCGCTTGCCCCCCGCATGGCTTTCGGTAGATCTGCTTCCTCATCCACGAAATGGGGAGAACACCCTTGCCCGGTGTCACAAGGATGGAAGGAGAGACTTCACATGAGCTCCCCCCTCCCAGCCATCAGGGACTGAAGATGCCCGTGTCCAGGCAGCAGTGGCCCGGTGGTGTTTTGGAGGAAGGGGGGAGGGCGGCTGCCCTGCCCCAGCCCCCCCCGCCAAATCCTGTGATGAGAGGAGCCCACCTAGGGCTCAAGGGCACAGTAAGTTAAAACACGCCAGTCACAACAGCAGTTTAACATTTTACTAAATCAATTCACACAAATTCCAAATTGCAAATATAATTAAGGACAGCAGATTCTGTTCTGCCTTTTAAATCTTTCATTTTCAAATCCATCATTAAGACAAAAAGTAAACAAAAATTAAGTCTGCTGCAAATTCGTGATTTTTCTTCTTGAGGAAAAAAAAAAAAGAACATTATAGTAAAAAGAACGCCACTGGGTGTACGAAAAAGCACCACGACACACGGTTACAAAACAGGCCTCCTGGATTCGGCCACACACAGAAGACACTGCTCTCCCCGCTGTTCTGCGTCGAGCAGGATTTCATTAAAATAAAACTATAAAATCTCCTAGGTTACGCTAAAGTCAGACACGGTCTGGAACACAGTGCTTAACAACAGTAATGCCAACTATCAGTGCTAACGTAAAAACATTTTAGAAGGTCAAAAACAATTAAACTGGAAACCAAAACCTTATTTTCCCTAGATGAGCAAAATTGGAAATGAAAGGGTCCCGCCTCCCAACAGGAGTGAAGGGGATTTTTCTTTCTTTCTTTCAGACTGGAGGCGGGGGCACGGTGCAGGCTGGCTCTGTAGTTCCTCCGCCTAGTTGGCGTCCAGCTTGGCCATTTCCTGTACGTAGATGCCTATACTCTCGCTGTCAAAAAGCACGAAATACACCGTTTTGATGGAAGAGGACATTGTTGACACGAAGTAACTGGAGATGGCCTTCAGGATCAGCTGAGCTGCCGTCTGTTTTGGAAAACCATTCCTGCAGGAGAGAAAAGTGCTCAGCAACCAGAGAGACCACTGCGGCCACGGCCCTGCCGCCCGCCCGCCCTCCCGGAGGCCCCCAAGGCCGGGTGTTGTGCTTTGCCTCATGTTGCCTCAGTGGCCCACCCCGGGGGGTTCCTATGGCTGCTCATACAAAGGCATGAGAAAGGCCAGCGCCTGCCACACCAGGGAACGACAAGTGGGCAGAGAGCTAGGACGCGGAGAATGTTCTAGGTGCCCTCAGAGAAAGGGGACATGCCAGGTGTTCTGAGAGCAACCAGCAGACAGGCAGGATCTGCGTTTTAGGCATTAAGTCTCCCAAGGGTGGCTGGAGCTCCTAGGTTTCCCCTCCCAGCATCACTGGGACTGGCACGGGGACGCACAGCTGTGGGTCTCACTCCCCGGGACGGCTGGAGGCGGGGCTTCTCCAGGGGGCGGCGGGGGCGGGGGCGGGGCGGTGCTGTTCTTCACGCACCCCTCACGTGGGCCTGAGACTTCACAGTGCTGGGGCTGCTGGCCTGGCGTGCATCCCAGAACACACCAGCTCGCACCGTCCAAAGGCCAGGGCCCAGGCGAGCTGCGGGTGCAGGGAACAACTCCTGGCCCAGGGGGCTCTGCATCTCGAGGGACAGCATCCGAGTCTCCAGGCCAAATGGCTGTGAATTCACACCTATTTCCACTTAAAATGAATGTCAGGTGATGATGGCAGCAGGGGTAGGTGCGCAGAATTCTCAAGAATCTCAAGTGAGGTCAAGAGAGACTGACACCACTTACTCTCAAGTGTGCCTGAGGCTGTTCCTGGTCAACCCTGCAGGTGCAGGACCCAGGTGACCCAGGACAGTGGCAGGAGCAGAGCAGCTTGCCTCGTCTGGCAGAAATAATGTGGGCTGTGGAGCCAGTGGCCCTGGATTCAGATCCTTCCCGACCGATACTCGGGTGGGAGTCTGGGGCCCGTTTTCATGGGGATTTCTTTTTTCACTGGCAGGTCTACAGCCTTCGAACCCCCCGAGCCTGGGCCCTGTTGGCAGCCCAGGTGCTGGGCCAACCCGCTGGGCCAACCCACTGTTCCCATGACGGGGCAAGGCTGCACCTCTCCTTCAGCTGGGATACCTGCCCCTAGGTGAGAGGTTTTCAAGTGCGTACGGTGCGGGGTCTCCCTTAACCCTCTGAGCCTTCCTCATTCAGCGCCTGGGAGTTTTGAACTACCTTCGCTGGCTCCCCTGGCGAGAGCCACACTTACTCCACTGTTGTCGGGACCCAGCAGCTCAGAGCCCCAGGTGAAAACCACTCTGGTGACCCACTTTGCATCAAACAGGGCTTCGCCCAGCCGGAACACGAATACCCAGTAACTTCTGGATGCTTCGCAAGTGAAGCTCGTTCTTAGCAGACAAGGGATGTCACCCAGGGCATGTGCCCGGCTTGTGCAGAGTGGCCCGTGGGCCACAGTGGGGTGTGAAGGATCCGTCACAGAGGCGCCGCTCCCACAGGGCCGCCTGCACACGCAAGCCCGCCCATGCGGAGCCTGACTGAGGCTGAAGGAAGAGCTGGACACGCGTGCCAGCCCGCGCGGTGCCGTGAGGCCCGGATTCCTCTGGAGCGCACCCTGGGTGCCGGGTCTACCACCAGAGGAGGTAGGGTGACCAGCAGGCGGGAGCGGATGGAGGGCGGTGGAGACCATGAGTGGGGACCAGTGGGACCCACAAGGCAAGGCATTCCCCTCCCCCACTCGTCCCCTCTCAGATCTGCAAGCCCGTTTGGGGAAGCAGCTGTCCTTGCCACACCTGACAGTCTTCACAGGATAGGCTGTCCGGAACAAGGCACGCGGTGGCAAGTGCTGGAGGACGTAAACTTGATCTTCCATTTTTTTGTGGGGGGGGGGAGGCCTCTGCAGTGAGGATGTTCCCGTGAGTGCTGTGGGGAGTCCAACTCATACCCACTGTGGGCACATGAGGGCGTAGGGGCTGCCCTTCACCCAGTCCCACTCCTGAGAATGGGACCAGGGCCAGATTTTGTGCAGAGACAGGGTCATGGGGTCACTGGAATAAGGGCTCTCACAAAGAGCAAATATTTATTTTCCTGCTGTAAGTTCAGCTGCTGCCCAAAGGGGCTGCCACCTCACAGCCCCTCGTTTCATCTCTGCTGAGAAGAGCCTGGGGAGGAGGCAGCCGGTGGCCGGGTCTGCAGGACTGGGGAGCTCGTGGAAGCTGCAGCAGGACGGGAAGTCGCCAGGGCTCCGGCCAAGGGCACACTGGGGGCTTCTGGACCATGCGGAGCTTCGTGTGTGGACGTGGCCTGGCTGGTGGGGGCTGGGCGGGGCCGCGAGGGGTCGGTCTCAGCCCTGGAAGCCCAGCTCCCCGCAGCGAGGGCGCCCTTCCGTCCGTGTGTGCGTCACACCCGCAGGGTGAGCTGGCCTCAGGTGAGGACCCGTAGAATTTCCCTGCAGTCTGTCGAGCGGCCGGATGGTCGCGCCCACCTCCTCCTGCACCTGCACTGCGGCTGGCCCGGGGCCCGGCTCTGTCGGCTGCCCTCACCCGCAGTCCATGCAGACACTCCGGCCCCTCTGCCCTTGCTGACCAAGAGCACGCCTGTCACTGCTGCCGGACTCCAGCACTTTCTGATACAGACCTCCTCCTCTAGCTTTCCATGCCCCTCCGCTTCGCGCTCCTGAAAAGGGGTGTGTGATGGCCAGTGAGGGAAGGTTCTTTCCCGTCCCTCTACGTCAACCGTTGTCAGTTTTCTGTCAGGATCACAGAGGGCTTGTCCCCATGCAGGGTGCTGGGCTCCACCTGGTGAGTCCGATTCAGCAGGTCGAGGGAACACCTGAGAACACCACTGTTCCCATGGAGCCGGCATGGGCTTCCTAATCTGAGCTCACAGGGTGGGCCCCACGGTTAAGAACCTGTAAGCGGGGGCACCTGGGTGACTCAGTCGGTTAAGTGTCTGCCTCCGGCTCAGGTCATGATCCCGGGGTCCTGGGATCGAGCCCCGCATCGGGCTCCCTGCTCATCGGGGAGCTTGCTTCTCCCTCTCCCTCCACCTGCTGCTCCCCTTGCTTGTGCTCTTTCAAATGAATAAATAAAATCTTTAAAAAAAAAAAAAAAAAGAACCTGTAAGCGGGGCAGAGAGGCAGGGGCCCGAGGTGTCAGGCCTGCAGTGTCCGAACCTTGCGGGCCCCATGGCTGACGGGGCAAGGGCTGGTGTCCTCTTTGAAGCTCACTGCCGGGCACGAGTGAGTCTCACGTGTTTCCAGGAACGCCTCCCCTTAACAAGCCCATCCCTCTGTCCTAGGCAGCCACGGCCTCCAGAACGCCAGCCACGGGAGCGCGGCTGCTCCGGACCGCACAGGCCGCCGGGAAGGACTGGGGAAGGTACGAGCTTTCCTTATGTCGTCAGGGCTGCCAAGTGGATTCGCGGAGCCGCGGTTCCAAGTGTTTGTAGCAAAACGGAGCGGTGTCCTCACGTCAGGGGTGGCTGCGGGGCACGCAGTGGCCTGGGCGGAGCAGCAGGGCCTTTCGGGGCTCGGGCCGTGGAGCCACACAGGGTGTGAGGTCAGGCCCTGCCTCTGCGGCTTGCTGCCCGTCCGGGGAAGTGGGGTGGGGAGTCCACGCACCTACTGTGCCAGGAGGCTGGGAGTGGTGAGCGGGATCCGGCGTCCTCGTCGGTCACGGTCTCTATCCAGCAGGCAGTCTTGCAGGGTCTTCGAGAAGGCTCACGTGGTGGGAAACCGCCTTCCTCCCAGGCCCCGTGACCGCGCTGGCCTCTGCACCTTCCCTGGGCCGACCGTGCGGGCTCCGGCCCCCGGAAAGCTGCTGGCCGGTGTGCGAGGCCTAGTCGCTCTGGAGGGCTGTCAGCCACTCCTGCCGGCACGCCCAGTGTGGCAGGGAGACGCGGGGGCCCCGGTGCGCCATGGGCCAGCTCCAGGAGCACCAGTGGCCTGTGGGGTCTTGCTCCTCTCCCGGCTTCCTGGCTGCTTGGGTCCCCTGCTGGTTGCTTCGCTGCAGCCGCCCTGAATGGCCCTCCCTGCTTGGCCAAGTCTTTGGGCCCTCCTCCCCCAGCTCCGGCCTGTTGCCCCTGTGACCGTCACTTTGTCCATCTTCTGAAGACCAGAGACCCCCCGCCCCCCAAGACACAGCAGAGCAAGAGGGGGTTGGGGCTTCTGTTCTAGCATCAGATTGGGGTTTGAATCCCAGCGGCCCTGGGGCAGGGGCGTTAGCCTCTCCAAGCATTAGAGGTACTTCAAGGGTACACGGGGCGGTGATGCCAAGGATGCTGCTGCCCCCAACAGGTGGGTGTCCCTCCTATCCCCCCTTGGGCGCTATGGGGCCTGTTAGGGGCTGTGGGTCCAGCCTGTGCCTTAAGTTTCTCTGCAGCCAGTGTCTTCGACTTCGAGCAGACTAAGGAGATGTCGAGCTTCCCCTGAAGTCATTCCAGTTGTCTGGGACAGCCCTTCCCAAGTGCCTTGGGCCTCAGCTCCCCCAGATGGGTGCCAGGGGACCACAGGGGCTTTCTTGATCTGGCGCCCTTTGGGTCAGCCTGGTCAGGAATGGTCAGGGGGCTCCATATTGGTTGTCTTTCCATTCCACCGGGATGGCAGGGGTTCTGGGCTCACCAGGGCCACATCAGAGAAGAGGGTTCCTCCAGCACTGCTGAGCCCCCACCTTGGATGGGGCACCGCCAAGCACCCCTGTTATCGGGGAGCTCCTCTGTGGGGCTGGCAGGCACACAGGAAGGACTCTAGGCCAGGAGCAGTGTTGAACAGGCTGATGAGGGACCGTGGAGAATCCTGTGGGGAGAGGCTATGTCCTGGGAGATGGAAAAGTGCAGGCAGACTTTCTGGACGAGTCAATCTGGGAGCTTGCCTTGGAAGGCAGGGTGGGATTAAAGGTGGATTCTAGATGGACTTGGGTTTCCATGCTAGATCGGTCCACCTGTCTGTCTTGGCGGTCTTGGAGAGGGTAGGGCTGGAGGGCATGGAACGTTGGGTGATGCTGGGAACGCGTGCCCCCGGGTGGTCACTTTGCTGCTAGGATTAGGTATCCCTCACACTGTGCTACTGGGCCTTTCCACTTTGCCATGTTCTGTGTGGCTTTGAGTAACTGCCTGTGTCAAGCTGCCCCACCTGAAGGCCACTCTCTCCAGAGGTTAAGAGTGGGCCAGCAGGGGAGAGCAGTGGGCTGTAGTTCTGGACGGCATGCGGACGGGCCAGGGAGCATAACCCACTGTGGCCTGTTACTTCTCTCACTCCAGGGTGGAGGGAGGCTGAGGGCGAGGTCAGGGAATTCCAAGTTGGGGTTTCCAAGGTTCCCTAAAATCCACTCCTACAGAGAGTGCTCAAGCAGTGGGGCGATCATCTGCTGGAGGGCAAAAGGGGTCTGTTGACCAATGGGGACAGAAGGAAGGGGTTCCATGTGCCTCATTTCACCAGCACAGATGCCAAGGACTTCCCCTCAAATTCTGGCTCTACCCAGTCCAAGCTGTGGCACCTCAGGTGAGTGAGTTAACCCCTCTCAGCTTCCATATTTTTTGGTTTGTTTTTGTTTTTTGTTCGTTCGTTTTTACTTTGAGTAGAATTAATGCCAGTGGGCAATAACGCAGACCGGGGGCTTAGCACAGTACCTGGATTCAAGCAATACCCATAAATGGAAGCTTGAAAAAAAAAAAACCTGGCGGTTCTTTTAAGCTCATAAATCTAAGCAGAGTTTAATCAAAGCCCCAAAGTACTTATTCCCTTTATACTACCCCTCCAGAGACGGGTCGCCCCCGAACGTCAAACAGAGCTGACGGAGTGGGGGTATCCATAAATACCGTGACCGCAGTGCCCACAGACAGGAGGTCCAGATGCCAGAGGTGGCTTCCCCGAGGCCGGCCTGGGCGGAGAGAAAGTGTTCCCACTGCTCTTTACCAACATGTTTGCATTTATACTGTTTTAATTCCAATGGGACTTTTATGCCAGAGACACTGGATGCCACAAACAAGCTGTTTTATTTCCCCTCCTAAAACCCACCGTGATTTACGGGCCGGCTCTGGTGTAATCCCAATCTCTGCTCATGAAAGACAGGGCGGCTGTCTACACCGCTCCGTGGGGCCAGGTCTGCCCGACAGATGTGGGGCTGGGGGCTGAGCACGCGTGCTTGCCTTTGGCATTCTGGCCTCTTAAAAGCGTTCAATTGATTGTTTTTAAAAACTTTTTACTCTGTGAAAAATGTAGAGAATTACTTTTATGCTTCAATTAAAAGTTTCCCACTACCCATATGAAAGAATATGGAATTATTGCCTCCAATAAAGGCTCCTGTTGCTTCTTTCTTCAGAAGCACCTTTCATCAGAGGAGATCAAAGTGCATCCGAAGCACTAATTGAGCCTCGGAGCCATCTGTGAGGAAGGGCCGTCCCCAGAGCCTTGCTCCCTGATAAGGCAGGCCAGGGTCAGAGAGGCTAACTCATTTAGCCAAGGTCACACAGCAGGGCGGTGCCGAAGAACAGACCTTTTATGGGAGGTGGGAGAAGCAGGAAGCTGGCTACTTACACTCTGGTTCACAAGCGCTTTGTCAAAAATGGTTTTGAATGGTCTCTGGCACCTATTACTCATCTCCCTGGTTCTGGGGAACGTTCAAGCTGCGGGGTGCTTGCTGACTCCTTAGGACACTCGCTTCTGTCTCTGCCACGTGCTCTGACCGCCCACCGAGGGGGCTTCCAATGCTCTATCTCTGTTAGCTTTTAAGAGGCATTTAAAAGTGTTTTACAGTCACGTTCAACATAGGCTTTATGGCAAAAGAAAGCGAAGGAAAAAGCATAGTGGTTGCAAGTATAGGCAACTCTCCAACGAGTGGGTCATCACATAGCTCTGGACGTCCCTGACTTCGGCGGTAGAGTGGCACTCCGCGTCCACAGGGCAGGGGGCTGGCGGGAGCTTGCACTTCTCCCTTGCGGGTTCCTCTGCCCCCACACATACTGTGGGGACACGGCAGCTTGGGTGCTCCGGCTGCTTTTTGCTAGTAAGCCCGAGGACGCAGCGCACTGCACTAGCACAGAGGACGGAGGGCCCTTCACTCCAGGGAGGACCTGGTACCGGATGCCAGGGCTGCTCGGAACTACAGGACCAGGGCAGGGGAGGGGAGGCCCGTGCAGCCTGGGAGGGCCTGCGGCTGCTGGAGGCGGGCAGAGATGGAGGCTCTAGCCACAGCTCTCCTCCCATATCCGTCCTTGGGGAAGTCCTGCCAGCCCTCGGCAGCTGTGCGCCCCAGGCTGAGGGGACAGGACACCTGCCCAGGGCTAGCGAGGTCTGGAACCTCGGTGATGGCAGCGTGCGGGATGACGGCACCATTACAAAGCTTGCCCGAGATGGAAATAGCAAACTCCACTCTCTGTCCTCCTCATGGGCTGGGAAGAGGAGTGCTTCGAAAGGAGGAGCTTTCTAGAAAGGTGAGGAAGGGGTTTGAGGATCCATACTCAGGCTCCCCGGCACAGCCTGCGGGCCCAGGGAAGTCGGTGTGGTCTCGTCCCACAGCCCTGCCGTTCTGAGGCACTGGGAGGGGCCGACGGCGGAGACCCAGGGAGGCGCACAGTCCGGATCGGATGCCCCAGGTGCAGCCACGGCCAAGACAGAGCCCGGGGTTGTGGCCTCTGTCAGGCCCGTTTCCCTTGGCTTCGGTGCCCAATCCAGACAGCGAGTCTTCTGGGACGACCCCGTGATGGGATGGGCGGTGGGGCACGGCCTCTTCAGCATGCCGTGGAGCTCCCAAAGCCCTCTCCCTTCTCAGAGCTCCTTTAATTTCTGCTAGCGCACACCCAGAGCCTACTGTGGATAGTTCAGGGCTGGGAGGTAGGCTGGGCCCAGCCCTGTTTCACGGTTACTTAAGTGCCCACTCAGGCCCACCCCGCCTGAGCTCGATAGCGGGACAGGGAGACAGAGGTGGAGCGCGCACGTTTGGGGGAGGGCAAGGACACTTGGGAGAACAAAGGCGAGAGGCAGAGAATGGTGTGGTTGTGGGAGGGTGCTCTCGTCACGAGCATCCCAGCCTTCACACCTGCCCTGTCCTCCCCACTCACCCCACATCTGAGTCTTAGTGTCCTGCAAGGCTCACTCTCTCAGCCACCATCTCTGATGGTCCCAGCACACCCTGAGGCCCCTTCCCGTGCTGACATTTGCTGTCACGCCAGAAATTTCTATTGGCCTCAGGCTTCCTGTCTCACTGTGTCCCTTCAATTGTTCACCATTGCTTCATGTTTGTATTATTCCCTATCTTCTCGACTCATCAGGTGGCCTGAGGACAGCCTCAGCGGACCTCGTACCAGCCAGAGCTCCACGATTATGGGCCACATATGCAGATCAGTACATCCGGTAATGACATCACAAGCCGTGTGTCCTTACCTGCCACTGCCAATGGATGGGAACGCGATGGACTTGAGCTTCTTATCGTCGGCCAGGGCCAAGCAGTTCTTCACCGTCTTTTCCAGAAGTTCCTCACACTTGTCTGCACCCCAGACCGGACTGTTACAGTGGATCACAAACTTGGCAGGCAGGCCGTGGCCCGCGCTGACAGCAGCTGGAGGGGATGAGACAGAAACAGTGAGTTCCGTCCCTCTGCAGGGCACACGGCACCAGATGCCCAACACAGACGCCTCCGGGGGACTGCTCCCCAGCTAGTCTTCTTCGGGGAGACACTGGGCCAAGGCCCACCCTTGGGAAGCTGGCATTAGGATGCATCACCACCAGGAATGTTAGCCGAGAGGACAGCGAGCTCTCTCTGTCCCCTCCCAGAGGCAGAGCCTGAACCACCTCACTTGACCGAGTATGTCACAATGTTGGCAGCCTCAGGTTTGCCTTTTGGGGGCTCCAAGCCCCATTCCTCCAGTGGACTCAAGTACAGATAATGAGGACATATCTTTAAGTCCCCCCACCCCGGGCACAGTTCAGAATAAACCTATCAGGAAAGCAGCTCCGTTTCCTGAACCGCTAAGCAACATGACTGATAGAGTTCCGGTGCCCTTCTCCCCCGGATCCCCCTTGGTGTGGACAGAATTAAACTGTTCTTTCACGACACTACTGGTCTCTGGTCCTGGAAGAGCTGCTTTGTCTAACTCTCCATGTCCACCCCACAGCCAGCTTTCGCCCTCAGGCTCTGCCCCTCATTAGCTCCAAAGAGCCTGGCCTCCAATGTGCTGCCCCCGGCAAGGGTGACACGTCAGTGCGGGGTCTCCCAGAGCAGGTTCCATGACCCCTGTCCCCCAGGATGCACTGCGGAGCGGGTGGTTGTGGGTCCACGGGTGTGGTGAGCGCTGCCTGCTCTGTTTCTGCACAAGAGCCCGAGGTCTCTACACCACCGCTGTCGTTTGACTGTGTGCTGAGCCTGTCTGCTGAGGGACAACCGTCCTCAGGGGTAGGGCTGTCAAGGTTGTGACGCCAATGGGGATGGGGAGAGCGTGATTGGTGGGCGGTTTCTCACGGGGCGGTAGCAACAGCTCTGAGCCAAGACAAGGGTCTGAGTTGGAGTCCCGGCTCTGCTCCCTGACTGGAGAACTCTGGGATGAAGTGCTGACCTCTGGCAACGGGAGACCGGGGGGTTTGCGCACTGGTCTGTCCGTGGGAGAAGTCACGGCCGAACGACACATGGGAAAAGACTGGAAGGAAACATCCTAACAGGGATCATCTTCGGGACAGTGGAGCAGGGCTGTGTTTTATACAACCTTTCTATGTTTAGAAGTATTTTAAAATATCTTGTAAAACAGATGCTGATATCAAGAACAAAATGAGTTAATAAAACAGGCAAGTGTGTCTTCAGCCATGCTAAATGTGATGGGTTTGCCTCAGCTGAGGCTCAGGTGTCACCAGCTGATTTGGGTGCTGTGGCAGCACCAGGACTCTCGTCACAGCTCCATCCGAGGGTCACCGAGGGTCTGGGCTGGCACAGAGAGGGGCCAGGAAGGGATTGAGAAGAGGCCAGGAGCCCCTGGGTGGTTAATTAATAATGCAGGGTCCTCCCTCGTTCCATATGGGACTTCGGTGGCAATACCCAGAAGGGCTTGGAAACGCCCTCTACCCTGAGACCATACCCCTCTGACCACCTCACATTTCAAAATCCAGGCCAGCAGCGGAAGAAGGACCTGCCTCTAGCTCTTAGCCATCTTTCTCCCTACATCAGATTCCAAGTCATTTTCTTATCCCCTGGTATCAGGAAAGGTGTGACTGGCAAACGAAGAATGTCTACTTCGATTTCTCCCATTAAAAACACAGATGGCTGAATGAAAAGGATTCATTTGCATGTTTCCCCAGCACTTCCGCAGATGGCTCAGTATCACTATCGACAAGTCTCGACTCTTAGCTTTGCCAAACTCCTGGCTGCTGTAATTCCTTAAAATGAGAGGTCTAGACACCAAACATTCAAGAGCTCTTTTGAGCAATAAAGAAAGTGGAAGGGCAGTTTGCACAACCCTTAAGCTCCCCCTGACAATCTGCATGTGGTAAGTCCACGTCGTAAAGCGGACAGGCTTCCCTGTGGCTCTAGCTCGGACACAGGTGTGCGTGGCCATGTACCTCTCAACTCCCAAGATGCCTCACGACCCGGTTCTCCTGATGCCGCACGAGGCACGCCCTTCCCCAGCTTACCTCCAGCGACTTCCAAGGGCCCGTTCTTTTTTCGGAGCTCCAGAACAGCTTCCACAAACTCCTTGCCACCTTTCTTCTCCAGCGTGTTTCCTAGACAAGGACAGGGTGAGGTCAGACGGCCACTCTTGCGTCTCGGGGCACAGACAGACACTTAGCATGTCAGGTGATTACAGACTTCCAATGATCTGACCAGCTAAATTTCCATACGGCTGCAAAACACGAACTAAGCCTTGGTTAAGTCATCTAAGTGACATTTAGAAAGGATCCAGCTGGCCAATTGCCACCGAGCAGTCTTTGCTGTCTCACATTTGGGGGTGACTCGGAGTAACCCGAGATAGGCCAGAGATGTGAGGGACATGGGACACACCTGTTGCTTGCAAGCATGCCTGGCCTGCATGCTTCTCATTGCTGTGAGAAACCAGTGGTGTTGGCTTCAGAGGCTTAGGCCTCCCCTAGACTTCCTTCTCTGTCTCCGGAGAGAACCCTGAGTACGGAGGCTGTAGGGGAAGCATACCGTGCTCCCATTAGGGAGCCAGGTCTGCTCTTGGCAGCAGGCCCAGAAGAAGCATACAAATTTGGCCACCTCTGGACCAGCATTATTACCATGCTTCGTTCCTATTTTGCAGCTTTGGCGTCATATTGAATACAAAAAAAAAAAAAAGGCCTCAGACAGTATTTCCTTCATCACACTAATGACTCAGAATCACTTTAGGTAAAGGAAGGCAACATCAGAAGCAGAGCTTAAAGGCGAGCTTGTACAGCACGAAAGGAAGGTGACCGCCTGTTCGGGGCCCGATTTTCAAGATTAAATCCAGTGGAGGTAGGCAGCCCCTTTTCTCGAGGTAGGGGTCCTGCTGAGTGGTCAGTTCCTGCTGTGAAAGCCGACTGCCCACACGAGATGACCAACCTCCACGTCACGTGCTGCTTACAGGCCCCGCGTGGCACAGCCAACCGCGTTCAAAACCAGTGACGTCCTCACCCTCTCAGGTTTGGCCAAAATGGGGTCTCAGTCTTCCTTAAGCTCTGATTCATCAGTTTTGCACATTTTAAAGTACTTTTCCTCACAAGAGGATAAAATACTCCCCTTAAGATTCACCGTTTATCTTGGAAAATTCTAAGCTGCACTTGGCACATTGCGGTATGTGTCAGGGCGCATCGGAGTGCACCGGCCCAGATTCTCTTTGGGTTATTCACGCTTTCGTGACTAGGTCCATTTATCGTAGAGGAACCTGGCAGACTGGCTCTGGAGGAGCGAACTAACCCCAGGAAGTATCGGGAGGGAAGCACACACAGCCTGGGCACAGTCACCCATCAGCACCAGGGTGAACGGCAGGCACTGACTGGCAGCAAGTCTGGGGTGTGTGAATGCACATGACCAGCAGGCCGTCACCCATGGGGAGCCCTCAGATGTCTGGGAGGAGGCCCGGCTTTTTGGGGAGAGATTACCGTGGGATGCTTTGGGAGGGAGCCAGCATCCCTCATTAGCCGAGACTCTCTACCCTCACGCCTTCGCCTGTCTTGGAAAGCAGTCACGGACGCTTTAAATGGCACAGGAATCAGGAGGGAAAAATACGTCCACTCCAGAGACTTCTAAGCACTGTGGCATCTGCTGCACATTCCTGACAAAGACCAGCATCACAGAGGGTGGCTGAATGGGCGTGAGGGAGCAGGGTCGGGCCCCATGGCCACCTCCATGCTGCAGGAAGTGCAGACTTGAAGGATACGACCCAGGCGAGTGAGGCCCAATTACGGGTTCACTCGGAAGATCATGCAACTGAGAAAAATGAACCTTTAAGTCTGAATCTGCTGGGTCCCAAACACTGCTACCCACCACACCTGGCCTTCCCTGCTGACCGGTTCTCAAGCTCAAGGGAGGGAAACAAGTCTGCTCTACGAGGAGCTATGTTAGGTCTGCATTCTCTACCAGACATGCTCTTTGGGGGCAAACTGAGAAATTTGGAAGGCAAAATAAAATCAGTACTGTATTAATACTGCCAACTCCTTTCTAAAGCATACGGTATTAAGAAAATGGGCTGATGTAGCATTAAAGGTGTTTCATCTTAGGAAGAGTGTTTACTTTAAAATTTTTACTTGTAATTAAATCTTGCTTTAATTAGAAGTGAAACTTGCAAGTTAAAATACACTCAATGCATTTCCCAACTTAAAAATTGAACCCTAGGTTGCAGGCAATCACCGCGATCAGGACGGGACCCCTACACACACATATGTATGCACATGTTCATGTAGACACACGTGTACTTTGTAACAAGAAACAGGCCCATTTCAACTGTATTGTCAACACTCATCATGGAAGACTCTTGCTTTTTAGGCTCCACTTCAGGGTTAATCGTAAAGCAATTGGCTTCTTTGCCCCCAAGCATAAACATGTGTTACTCCCATGAGAACAAGAACATTATTTCATGCTTAGAAAGCAGGCATAAGTATCAGTGTTCAAAACAGCCTAAGCGAAAATTTAGGCTTGGACAAATGTCAGGCTAAGCCTGTGGTCTATTTCACTGTTAGAAAGAACTGTGATGGGTAAGAGTTAATCATGGGGCTAAGCATTCCTGCACTGGCATTCCTTCTTCCAGCAGTCTCGGGTCTCAGGAATTTCACACCCAGTGGGAGAAATGTCCTAGCTTCCTCTTTTCCCCTCTCACACATCCAAGTGGGAGCTAGCACCAATTGAGACCACGGAGGAATCTGGTTTGTCATTGTTTTGGAAAATGTAAAAGATAGGTGGGGTCAGTACTAGTCTGGACTGGTTCACTGAGAAAAAGCACTGAGGTGAGCTTTGGAAGACCTGGGTTTCGGCACAGTCATTTGGGGTCCTCCTTGGCCAGTAAAGCTGTCTGGACCGGCTGAGGTTCCTTTCCAGCTGTGACAGCGTCTGCGAGTGATGTGACACGTGACCTTGGGCAAGCTCTCGGAGCCAGGTGACGGCCAGGTCACCGAGGCTAATCATGCCTCCCCTGTACATCTCAGTGGGGCG